GATTTATACAAACTTTCATCCCCTATTTTATCCCCTTAGGGGTGGAATTTATCAAAATCCTTTCTTAGGGGATGCCTACGTCATAGTAGCTTTATGCATGCAAAGTCTCAGCCCGATCGGTTTAAAATTGACAAAGTTTCATACAAACTTTCATCCCCTATTTTATCCCCTTGGGGGTAGAATTGATCAAAATCCTTTCTTAGCGGATGCCTACGTCATAACATCTACCTGCATGCCAAATTTCAGCCCGATCCGTCCAGTGGTTTGGGCTGTGCGTTGATAGATCACTATGTCAGTCACCTTTGAGTTATATATATTTAGATTTTTTTTTGGGTCGCAAAAAAATCACAATCATAAATGGGGTCGTGAATAAAAAAAGTTTAAGAAACCCTGGCTTAAAATATCTTCTACAATTTAATTATAATAAAATACTTTTAATTAGATTTGTTTTTCTAAACTTATTAATTACACTATATAAATAACATATTAAAACAAGAAGTGTTTTATCATAATATTATTATTAAACTATCATTGCATCACTTCATTTTTAAAAGAATGAAATATTACAATTTATAAATTTAAAGAATTATACACACAATTCCTACTCATAAAAATAACAACCTACCTTTTCTTTGTTTACAATTACTTTTTGCAGCCCATGCTAATTGTAACTGACAATAATTAGTGTCTGGATCACTCATTAAATTCTTAGTAAGACAAAAATCTATCACATATTTTATATCAGGAACAGTTATAGAACTTTCTGCTATATTTGTTGACAGAATTATCTGCAAAATGAAAACATACTTTAAGTAATTATGTTAAGATCAAAATTTATTTTATATACAAAAACTGACAATTAAGTTCTGTAAATTTAAACACAATATTATGTTTCAATTAAAAGTTTAGTATTATTCAGTGTAACATCTTCAAGATTATATATACTTAGCTTTTATTCAAAAAGAATTTTGAAACCTTTTTTAAAAATTTTTAATTTTATCAACACCAATTCCTTTTCACAATAGTGTTTAATACTCTTAATATATTTCAAATAATTTTCAGTGTCAATTGAATTTTTAGGAATAAAATCTAGACTTGGAAAATAAATCAAGGAAATTAATTGTAATCTAATTCTGAAATTCCAAACTTTACCAAAAATTCTTCATTATTTATTTAGAATGAGGCTGACTATTGCCTTGTAGTAAAACTGAGTTCAAAACTGAGTCTTTATTTAGTGAATTCTTTTAAACAATATAGTCTTGATAAAAAATTTCTTCAAAATTCTAATTTTTGAACTCATAAATGTTTTGTTATAATGTATGTTGCATCATTTAAAGTAGTGTTAGGATAAATAGAAGTATTCACAAGGAGTGAAACTTTACTAAAGTATAAAATTTTAAAAAATCTTAAATTAACCATTTCATTTTTCTTAAAGCAGATAATTGTCTTTGTTGTTAGACTGAAATTATAATTTATTGATTTTCATAATTAAATTTATTAATTTAAAAAGACAGCTTTCAACTTACTTTACGATAACCTGTTTGTGGTTTCTTAAACACTTGTGACTGTTCCTGTGAGGTAATACTTGAATGTAAAGGTATTATCCACCATCTATGTAAATAATATTAATTTTAATAATAAATGTACATAAACACTTACAAAAAAAATTACACACACACACATATTATATATATAATTTAAGTTAAATTATGAGTCATGTTGCCTGCTTCTAATTAAATACACTCATGAAAAAATAATCACAATCATTTATTATCTAAAATGCAATTTGGTCTGAAAAAACAAGTTAATTTTTGATGTAATTCCATTGCATAAATAAAAAATTCAATATTATACTAATTTGTTAAATTCTAAAGGAAAGAAAGGAAAGAAAAAAAAATTAATATGTGAATACGGGGGCCGATGGCTCCCCTCTATAGTCAGGAGAAGAGGTCAACCGAGTGTAAAGAGAGGTGATTGGAGTCGACGATAAGGTGAAGGGCAAGATCGAGTAAAGAAGTCTACCATTTTCTTTAACATAAAAAAATTAACAATTTATTAAAGAATAGGCAAATGACAAAACTACACAAAGCTCTATACTGCCAGAAAGTTTCTATACGACAGAGAGTTTCGATACGACAGAGAGAGTATCAGTGCTTTCATACCTCTTTTCGCCATCCACTTTGACAATTCTGAACGTGGATGCCTTTAAAATATCGATCCAAGGAATAATCCACAAATACGGCACAAATTATATAAAATCGCGACTTAAGCGCTCATTTAATTCGAGGTTCAGCAGAGATCGGAATTCGGCTCGTTCGGAAGATCGGCACGATGTTGTTAATCCTGCGTTCGGTAATAGACTCTCCTGAGAGGGGGTAAGAACGGCCTTTTATCCGTTTTAGTGGGGAATTTCCACCATGTGATTGGATGTACATAGGTTAGGGGTTATAGGTGTTCCAGGGATCTATAACAAATGACGACATTTAGATGCTAACTATCAACCTTTTTGCAAGATGAGATGCAAGTTCTGCAGAGAACAATGGATGTTGCTAGTTAAGACCGGAAAGTTTACACAATCCCAGGCAAGATCGTTTTTTCCTACTAGGGCGTTACATAAACTAAAGTTTTGATTAATTAACAATTTTGTTAATAAATGAGCGATATTTCCATCACCAAAATTCCGGATCTCACAAATACAAATTTTATAATAAAATATCTATATGCAAAATCAATTTTACTGAATTTAAGAAACAACATAACCATTAATTAGTAAGAGAATATTTTAAAAATTCAAGTACTGCTACATAAATAAATGATTCAGCATTCATTGTTATATTGATAAATAAAAGTATTTTTTTTTTTAATTTTGACTTTTTTTATATGTTAAATAATGAAAAAATTATATTTTCTACACAAGTATAAAAATTTTATACAAGTTGCTTTTCTTTGTATGAGGAAAACATATCAAAAGACATCTTTCTTTAAAACTCTGCGAAAGATTAAGAAATAGAAAAAAACAAATATGGAAAAAATTATGAAAATTTTAGAAACAAAAAAATAATAATAATATATAATTGATAGAAATCCAATTCAAAATTATATTAAAAAAATTAATACAGAAACAAAAATAATTACTTATATGTTGTTTGTTCTTCTCTAAGAAGGTCTCGCATTTTGCCAATTTCTTCATATCCTGAAATTGTATAAGAAATTTTTAGTACTATTGGAAAAAGAATAGCAATATTTCTCAACAAAAAAAAAACTATCATCAAAATGTAGAGTATTACATGTAAATGTAGTATACAAGATATGATTAAAAATTTTTAAATCATTATATGTATTTGTAAACTGTTATTTCTGTTCTGGTATATGATCTTATTTTCATTTTATTTCATTTCATATTTTTGCCAGATAAAAAAAATGGATTTATTCATGGAACAATGAAAAATTAGACTTGTGTAATTCATGCCAATCATAGTATCATATTTAACACACATTTTTTCATAGAAAATCTTATTAAAAATAAACAGTTTCTCTTAAAAAGATTTGAAAACAATCAAGAACATGTAAAAATAGTGTTCATTCATTATGAATAAGCATAAAATTGCTTGAGAGAATGAATCATACAGGAACACAATTAGGATATACACGCTAAGCTTATATATATCCTAATTGTGTTCCTGTATAGTTCTTCTCTAAAGCAATTTTATGATTACTCATAATAATTACAACAAGAACAAAAGGCAATCCAGTACAAAAGCATTCATTCATTTCTAGTAATACTATATTTAAACAAAAATAATTATCATAATTTTATGCAGATTACTTGCAGCATTATATGACTCACATTGGTGTTCATCCTGCAAAAATGCTGGAACAGAAAACTTTTTCATAGCCCATCTACAACATATCAACATTTCCAAAGTGGCCATTATAAACATGACACTGATAGGCCATTTAGAAAAGTTAACAACTCAACCATTCAAGTTCTGTTCTTTTTCCTTTCTTTCATTTCACTTCTATTGTCAGTTCATTGAAGATATAATTATAAAATAAGTGAAACATAAAAATAAAATTTTTGAGACAGAACCTCTAACTTTGTAAGTATCAAAAATACAAATGGTAACAAAGAAAAATTATTTAATTGTTTCATTTCTATTTAATTTATTGAACAATATTAACAAATGTACAATAATAATAATACTATTTCAGTATTATTATTATTGTAGTTTATTTCAAACTAAAATTAAAAGAAAAAAATGACATGGTATTTAAACATCTTCAAGATTATATATACTTAGCTTTTATTCAAAAAGAATTTTGAAACCTTTTTTAAAAATTTTTAATTTTATCAACACCAATTCCTTTTCACAATAGTGTTTAATACTCTTAATATATTTCAAATAATTTTCAGTGTCAATTGAATTTTTAGGAATAAAATCTAGACTTGGAAAATAAATCAAGGAAATTAATTGTAATCTAATTCTGAAATTCCAAACTTTACCAAAAATTCTTCATTATTTATTTAGAATGAGGCTGACTATTGCCTTGTAGTAAAACTGAGTTCAAAACTGAGTCTTTATTTAGTGAATTCTTTTAAACAATATAGTCTTGATAAAAAATTTCTTCAAAATTCTAATTTTTGAACTCATAAATGTTTTGTTATAATGTATGTTGCATCATTTAAAGTAGTGTTAGGATAAATAGAAGTATTCACAAGGAGTGAAACTTTACTAAAGTATAAAATTTTAAAAAATCTTAAATTAACCAGAAGACTTAGANGCAGTACGAATTTGGCACTAGCCTTGGCCCTGGCCATCGGAATTTTGAAGTGAAGGGGGCGATCTACGTAACGGTTTTATTGAAGGGGCGATACTACGTTGAAGGAGGCGACGATTCGTTAGAGGTTGAGAAACACTGCTTTAGATAAACTGAGAGAAGAATGTGGAAACGTTTACATAATTTCAGTGTTATATTTTTATAACTATTGATAATAAAACTTGACAAATTATTTGTAATCTTAATTTATCAATAAAAAAAACTTTTCAAAATAATTTCACAGTGTTATATTATTTCAAATTATCACTCACTTTGGGAAAATTAATTCAAATATTTATAATAAAACTTTAACTTCTTATTGACAAATTTTTATTTTAAAAGTTATCTGAAATAATTCCATTTTACTCAACAAATATCAATCAAGAAAATAAATAATAATAAAACGCAAAAATAATTCCATACCACCAAAATAATAATTTACTCAGCATTTTATTTGTACTCATAATTTACTTGTCACTTAATTTTATAATAATATTTGTAATCTTACTCAAAAAATTAGTTTTGTGATTAGTACATGTCAAACCACTACTACTCATATTATTAGTATTTTAAGATTATTTTTATTATTTACTTTTTAATTTTGTTTTAGTTTTACTTCTTTATATTTTTTAATTTTTTGTTACACAGTTGTCACCAATATAAACATACCATTTCAGATAAATTTTATTTTTAGTGAGTTTTTGCATATATATAAACTATTAAACAAATGTAATCCATGTTGTAATTTATTAATATTGTTTCATTTTACCAGATACATACAAAATAAAGACCGATGAAGAGCAAATTGCCCAAAATGCATTTCCTTTATAGATAATGAAGTCTGTATAATCATTACCTGATGTTCCTGTATGATAAGTTCTCTACAGCAATTTTGTGCTCACTTCCTTAGATCATTCTGTCTTAAAATACATAATTGATAAATTACATAATTAACTTTGATTACCTGGCAAAAATATTAGTATTGCTCCACGACACACTTCCAAACCATCATTTTCCTGTCTGCAAAAATAATTATAAATCATTATGTTGTTACCAAATTTCACTAAAAAAAATTATTTCTTGAATTTTTATTAACATTTCTATGCAAAAATTGAAATAGCTAATTTTTTAAAATCAGATTCACAAATCTGTGGCCTCATGTATGAAATCCATAACCACCATGTGTTAAACTAAATAAAATGAGAATAAAGTTAATGAGCCATACTTTTGTTACATCACTACAGGTAAATATAAAATAATTATTTTTAACATTAGCATTCATCAATGTATTTATTGGTAAAATTTGGGTACTGTTAAATTATGTACTGTACATTAAAAAAAAAAATCACAATATTTTAAAAATGAATATCTTACAAAAAAAGAAATCTCCATACAAAAAAAACCTGTATCTCACAGGATGCTATTAAAATCTGGATGCTTGCTCAACATCTAACTCTTCTTGATTCACTGTTGCAACTTTCAGTGTTCTTCCAGAGTTTTCTGGGAGTCTTTGCCTGTAATGTAAACCCTGCATATAAGTCATGATACTCTGCAGTAATGTATGTGCACAGCTTTCATATATCTCTAAGGTTAGGAAATTGACTGAAGCAGAAATTGATTGGCTCCCATTGTGGAGGTGTGGAAGTGCAATATTGCTTCTTGGAATCCTTCCCATCTTCCTGATAGATGCTTCTTGTAAGGCTTCTCTGCATCATGAATATGATCATCCTCCTTAGTTTTTCTTTGGAACTTTTTCTTGTAGCTTTCTGCATTCAGACAGGGTGCCCATAAATGTCTTTTGTCTTGAAGCTCAGTGCCCTTTGCATTTCCTGCATAGACACAAAATATGTTTGCTGTGACATTCTGACTACTTTGAAGGGATTTCTCTTTCTGGAAGCCTCCACAAACTTTGCACAAAGATTCTGGAATGTACACAGCAAACTCAATAACTCCAAAATCCCTATCATAATCAAAAAATGTGTGATGTGGTGAAGAAAACTTGTGTTCTTCATCATCTTGATGTGAACAGTATAACACAAAATAAGAGTACATTCCTGTTTTTGTTTGGCCCCCACAAGAATCAGACCATGCAACTAATTTGCAGAAATTCCTATCATCAATATCTTTGTCATCATATAATTGTTCATCAAGCCATCAGAGGTCCTGAGAATATGATATCCTCAGGACCTCTGATGGCTTGATCTTCTGACCACATATGCATGTATGATTGGATTTTGTGATCTCTAACACAGAGATTATATATTCACAGCTGCCTACTATACAACACTAAACTAATGTTCATGTGAGGAGTAGGTAATGCCTGTTGGAGATCAAAGATTACAAGGTATCATTTCCTTCAGAAACTTTATGAAAGTCATCTTTCGTTGTGTTTTGACAGACTCAGCTTTCCTTAAATTAAGATCATGCTCATTCTCCAGCTGTTTTTTTTTTTTATTCCACTGTATTAACTGCCTGAACCTTCACTTTATATTTGTCACATATCTTAAATGCATCTAAGCTAGGATGACTGAAATTCAAGTTAAACTCTGTGGTGAAAATATCATAAAATATCCTGAAGAGCACTAGTTCTTCTTCTGCTGCTGTTGTGCAATCCTCAATATAAAGGCCATATACTTCCTGTTGATTTAATTCTGGAGAAAGGTATTGTCTATTTGGGTTGTCTCTGTGTGTGTGTAGTGACGTTTACATCTTGGAATTTTGTTGATGAATGCTTCACAATACCTTTTTTATTTTCAGGGATCCTGTTAGGACTTTTATGTTTTCCATGCTATGAAAATCTTTAATAAATCATCAAAATTTAACTTATTTGCAGCTCTTAACAGATGAATGCACTTGCTATGCATCATTTCTGCAGGAATCATGCATAGAAATGCAATACTGTAAACTTCAGTCTGATTGCGTCTGATATCTGTCATTCAACATGGACCATATATACACAATCAACAATTTTGCAGAATGAAGATGACTTGAAAACCAGTTCACAAATGGTAAGAGCACACAATTTAGTGAAATGTGGGTTACAAGTTTTATGCATGGAACCACAGAAATGTTCTTAACATGTTTTTGGAAATATAGAGAAACTAATGAAACAGAACTGCTTTATTTACTATTCTCAAAAATGCCAAAATTAAATTTTTGCTTTTCTCTTCCCTTCAGGTAATTTCAAATAAATAAAATTCATTAAATGTTATTATTTAAACTGTTTCTGATAAAAATTCTTTCTCAAAATTTTATCAGTGATTTTTAAAGAATATTCTGAAATATAAATAATACTTAAATATAATAAATAAAACAGTTTTTAGGGATATCTATATATAAATAAATTACACTTAGTAAAAATATTACAAGTAAGAGTTGAATTTTAAGATGTCAATGTATTTAATACAATTATTTAAATTATTATATCCAAAATTAAAATTTCTTTAACCAATCTGCTAATATTTATTTGGCACTGAAAATTCAATGCAAAGTGAGTATTAGCATATTATGCATTTATTTATAACAGTTTAATCTAAGTTGTTATTATTATTTAAAATGTTAAAATGCCTAAAATTAATAACATTTTAAAATCATTGTACAATAAATTCAAAAATATTTCAAATTTAAAATCATACTCTTGTTCTTGTGTTTCAATTCTATCAAAAACTTTTATTAAATTATATGTTAGTATGTAAGATTCATTTGGTATACATGGATGATATGGATCCAGTTCAGGCAACTGAAAAGAAAACATTCATTTAAAAATAAATATAAAAAATAAATTATTTTAAAATTTTCAGCATTAAATAAAAAACTTTATTCACAGGGCCCAAATTTCGAATATTATTTAAATAATATTCTGGTACAAATCTTGTTTTTCCAACTATATCAAATACAGGTGCTGGCATTAATGTATTTTGTACTGGTATATAGAAATATTCAGCAAACTTTGTTGTATCAAAAGTTGCAGACATGAGGATAACCTGTAAAAGAAAAGAAAAAAAAAATCACCATTTTCTTGAAACTTAGAGAATTATTAAAAATGAAAAGTCATACTATTTTATTATTGCATAATAAAAATATTATGAATATATACATATAAACTAGAAAACAAATTTAAATACAGAAATCAATACAAATTTGTTCACACTAAAAGTAATTTATAAATCATCAAATATATTCTGAGCAAAGTATCTTAAACAGTAAAGAATAAATGGATTGTATAATTGTAATAAATAGAATAAATTTATATTGAATTTGAATCCTGTGTGTGCATCTGCCTAACAATTAATTACTTCTAGATATTATTATTAACTCTAAAAATTAAAATTGAATTAAAATTAACACATACATATATTATATGTGATAAAATGGCCAGGACTATAATTGTAAAATTAATACACAATTAAGACTATACAAAACAAGTCTTTTGATGTCCTCACACCTCAGGAAAATAACAGTCTTACGACGGAGTCGACCTTTCATTAGAGGATACTCATCCCCCTCACTATGTAAAATATTACAAAACTTCCTTCCGGTGATGGCACAAATAAAAAACATAATAAACATTTGATAAAATCTAACACATTTTAAAAATTCTTCAAATTGTGTACAGTAGAGGAATAATGTATTTTTAAAATGTGTTAGATTGGTCATTCAGTGTGATAAACCCTTATGTAAGATAACCTTTGTAGTTATATAAGAAGATTAACATGAAAACCATATAAGGAGTTTGGTTATTTCAGCCTACCATTGTCACGTTTATCGTGATACTCAGATGGTACAAAACGGCACAAATTCAATAGTCAAGCAGACACCAATATTGAAAATATATCTTCAATTTTTTAAGATACCATAGTTTTTCCTAATATTAACTCTGAGAAACTACCATTCATAGCCAAATATCAAATGGTAATCTGTTGTGAATCAAATTTCAGAAAAACAAACCAAATATTTAAACTTGGCACCCTTAAAAACCACTTAAATCAAATTTGTGCTCATCATAACCTCGTATTATGTAATTTTCCTAATCAAATGCCATCTTAGTGCTGGTCTGATAGAAAGAAGGGACTGTTGCAGAAAGGGGTCAAAGTAATTTGACCAAAAGTAGTCATTGACCTCCTTCTGGAAGATAGGATGGTCAATGACTACTAATTAATATTGGTCTACTATTAATACAGTGGGTGTTTGGTTAACAAACATAATCTGTTCCAAGACCATGTTCACTATCCAAATTGTTTGTTAACTGATTATCGATTTGCCATAGATTTTTGTGGGAATTTGATTAATTTGTTCTGGAGACCCCCAAAAAAATAAGAAATTATTTACTTTCTTACTATGTTTATTTACATGTAATAACAAACTAAAAGCAATTTCTCCATTTTTCATGGATGGCACATCTTTGCTTCTCAGATGCAATTTTTAATTACTCATTTATTTGCTCGAGTCGTTTTGATTATATCTTTCTTAGCTAAGATTGTATCTACTGTAGACCTGTTGGAATCATCTGCCTATAATATCAGACATCTGCCCACTCTCTACCTTGACTATTATCTCTTGCTTAGTTTCTATAGTGAACACAGTTCTTGACACTCCACTCTTTTTAGGCCCCATAATATCAGTTTTTTAAATAAAAAATTCAGAAAAGCACTTACAAAAATTCAGAGAACAGAAATTAACTAGTGCAAAAAAGGTTATGTATACAACTGTGAAAGCCTCTTTCCATAAACCATGTATAGATGCCATTAAGTAAACAAATATACAGTAGAGCATCAATTATCCGACTCAATTGGGGACTCAGGTTGGTCAGATAACTAAAAAATTGGATAACCGAAAAAAATGAAAAAAATACATTATTACTATAGTATATTAGTATATCCCATGTAATTAGTATATTAGTATATCGCTATTAACCAACTTCGCATTGAATTTTCATCGATGTTAAGCCTAACAAATTTTTTTTAAAATAATAATCGTCGCTATCGTATCGTTAAAAATTATTTTTAAATTATTTTATTGATCACAAAACAAACAACCACTCATAATTAGAAAATGAAGTCTCGTTTAAATGCTGGCCGCCCTTTAATGGTCGAGCCGTGTTGCCAGCTAAAACACGCAAAAATTTAACAAAAATAATATTAAAGTAGCCAAGACATAGCCAAATATTGTAGTGCCACATCACTAGCGGACATTTGAAATTTGCCAACTAGAACAATCGGTTAACCGATGTGACGGTTAATCGGAGGTCAGATAATCGATATACTGTATATAATATATATTAATTTAGTTAAAAAAAATTAATACTACAGTAGAGCGTCGATTTTCCGAATCAATTGGGGACTGGGGTTGTTCGTATAACTAATATTTCGGATAACCGATTACGCACGAAAAAATAGTTTAACGTATCCGATGTTAAAATTTTTCTCCGTTGCGTGTCGCTTCGCGTTGAATTTTCGTCGATGTTAAGCCTAACAAAGACTATTGTATCATTAAAATTTTTTTTTTATTTTGTACGAACAAAATAAATAAATTGAAAAATATAAAAACAATAAAAAATTATACTTCAGATGTTAATTTAGTATCAAAAACGTAAAATATTTGAGTAGCCCAAGACATAGCCAAAGATTGAAGAGCCACAGCACTGGCGAAAATTTAAATTTGACGACTGGAATTCTTTCGGATGATTGACTTTCGGAAAATCGACTCTCTACTGTATTTTGTAAATTAATAAATTCTTAAAACTTCAAATTAACATAAAATTCTTATTAGCTAAACAAAATAATAATTATTTTGTAAACATTTTAATATCTAGCTGCTCAAACTTTTTAAACAAGCCATTTTAATAACAGCTTGTTCAAAAAGTATCCAGATTGATGTCCATACAAGCAGTATACTGGATTTAGTGAAGTATGATGATAGTCATTTTTAAAGTAGGTCCCTCCTGCAGTGATACACAGCCCAACAATCCTGCATTACTGAAAACATTTGAGGAAGTCTTACTCTACTTTGGGGATGTCTGTCAGTGTTTCCTTTGAATTCCATTTAATGCTGTGATAGTGTAAAATTTGCAGCCTTTGAAAATGTTCTTCAGTCTCAGCAATAGGAAAAATTCTGCTTAAACCAAGTCTGAAGAATATGAAAGGTTGGTAGCAGCACTTTTCCATAGTTTGCCAGAAATAGATACATGAGTAATGCCATGCAAGCAGAAACACTGTTGTTGTGTAGCACCTACTCATCATTTTTCCATTTATCTAATTTTTTTTTCCAGATGGTCTCTTACAAATATCTTAGAACCTCAAAGTAGAACTCTTATGATTGTTTACCCTGATAGAACATACTCATGGTGGATAATACAGTGGGTGATCGGTTAACGAACATAATCCGTTCCAAGACTTTGTTCGCTATCCGAATTGTTCGTTAACCGATTATCGATTTACCATAGGTTTCTATGGGAATTTGATTAATTCGTTCTGGAGACCCCCAAAAAATAAAAATATATATACTTTCTTACTATGTTTATTCACATGTAATAATAAAAATACATATATACACGGGCTTGCATTTTTATTAGTCGTGTTTTTCCGTTTGTGGGGGTTAAAGAATCTGTCCAATGTCGATTGCTTTTCTGTCTTCTTCATGATTTTTCAGAAGTAATTAATAGCATTGTAATTATAGAGATCTATAGGCCTATTGACCTCAACCTGATTTGGATGCCATTTTAAGACCGTTGTTCTGACATCCTCCCACTTCTTCAAAAGATCTTTAATAGCAGATATCGGCATAAATCCGTATTTTCAGAAGAAAACGTAAAAGAATTGTTTCTGTCAGAAATATAAAAGGCTGGAATTACAAGGGAGAGTTTCAAAGTTTGGGGGAATACTATTCGATCAGTATATACTGGGTAGAACATCGTTGTCGACGTCTCCCACACTCCGAAGAGTTTCGAATTGTTGCCTGAGACAAAGGAAGACCAATCGGTATTCGTTATTTACGCGCTTCTTCTTGTGTTTGTTCATTGAAGTGTTCATTATCCAAACATGTGTTCGTTGTCCGATCATAAAAATCTTTCACAAAAGTGTTCGTTATCCGATCTGTTCGTTAACCGATCACCCACTGTACTTTCATAGTTAAAGAAAACAGATACATCACCTTTGTTTTGCTATGCAACTGAAACACCTTCTTTAGTTAGTGACAAAATTTTCCTTCATTCTAAGGATTGCAGTTTTATCTATCATATCTATACAACCACAAATCCTCATCTGTGACAAGTTGTTTTAAAAACAAATCATCATCACATGAACATTTAAATTAAATCAGAGGCAAACAAAACCTGGCAATCTTTATGTTACTTCATTGTTAGCAAGCAACAAACTTTTCAAAGACAGGAATCATATTCAAATTTTTAGTTAAAATGCAGTAACAATAACTCACCAAAATTTGGACCTCTTCAGCTATCCTGCATAGTCAATCAGCAATCACTTTAAACAAAAGTTCTGACCTTGTCAATCATTTCTGCATTCTGTCCAGAACATGGGTCACTTTTGATACATCCTCTTCCCTTTTTAAAGCAACTGAACTACTCAATGCTTGCCAATGGCCAATGATATCATTTCTGTAGGCTGCTTGCAATAATTCAAACACTTCCTTAGCAGTTTTACCAATTTTAAAGTAGAACTTGATGCATACACATTGTTTTGTACTTTAACATCTCAAAGCCACAACACTTCAACTTTCACAACCTCTTATTCTGATGGATGATACATATTTTTAAGTGCCACACGAATTGCTAAGATTTTTGGAAACAGGTCTTGTGCAGTTGAACCATCCAAAATGCTACTGCCTTTGCACTACATAACCAGTCTGGATACCTTTTGAAAAACCACTTAGAGGTTATTATATTGGTTTAACAAAAAAAATCCTGTACTTTATTACAATATTTTAAAAATATGAGCTTTCTCTAATTTTTCAGCTTGAAGAAATTTATATTCAGAGAATTAAACATTCAGCATCTATATTGAAGTCTTCAAACTTTTTAGACTCCTCAATCTTTTACCAACCCCTTCTTTTTTTGCTAACAGAGTAAATGATAACATAAATCTGGTGAGCTAATATAAACCCACACATTGTTTCCATAGAAAAGATTTACTTACAGTGTACAAATTTACAACATCCTGACACTGTCATATACATAATCAACTGAACTAATAATTTTTAAAGAACCATTTTCAATAAACTAAATCAATCCCCAAAAATGCCTTATTAACCCAAGGATAGATATTGACTACTTTGGAAACCTCTGATCTAGATAAATACAGCAGAAAATTGTGGTTTAAATCATTCATAAAGTTATTACTAGTTTCTCCAACAAACCAATTAAGTAATGTTTAAGAAATATTAACAGATAAAATCATTAAAAATTTATGTATTCAAGAAAAAATTCCTAGAATTAAAAATAAATATTTTATGACATTTTAAATTTTTTTTAGCTAAGATAAATTTTTTGTATAAATTAAATTAATAATTCCTTCATTTTGATATTGATTAAAATGATAGAATTGTAATAAAAACATATACAATTTCAGCACATCTGAAAAAGATTCTGCAGAAATTACATGGAAAAAAATAAGAAAGATGAATAACATGTCTCATTGTTAATTTAAATATATGAGTACTACACTTTAATTAATAAAACTAATCACACAATATTACAATTGAGACATTACACATAAATTTGACTAACAGAAGTTCATGTAGAAAATAACAAATTAATATAATTTATCATACAAAATACATAGTTCATTTTTGAAAATTACTTTAAACAAGTAATTCATGCCACAATTCTTACAATTATATAAAAATTATTATAATATTTAAAATTTATATTTGGAAAAAATATAACTTCTCTGTATTTATGAAATATTTAAAAAAAATCATGTTTTGTATTTATATGTATGCATGCAAAATTTATATATGTATATACGTTTTGACTTACCTTAACTCCTCTTGAATTTGTCCTCAATAATCTTCTCACTAACAATAATAAAAAATCAGTCTCTTTATCTCTTTCATGAACCTAAATAAAAGTACATATTATTTAATTGGATGAAATTGAAACTTTAAAATTATTAATTAAAACACCAGCTTTAACCTCATCAATAATAACATGAGTATACATGTCCATTCTCTGTTCATTAGTTAATTTTTGTAATAACACTCCAGTTGTTACATATGTTAATCTGGTGTCTTCTGACCTAACATTGTCTAATGAGACCTGAAAGTTTATTATTATAAATTTATTACATATATTTTTTCAAAAGTTAGATTAATTGTAAATTAGTTTACCTACCTGATAACCAACAATGGAGCCCAAAGACCATTGTCTTTCTTGACAAACTCTATTTGCAACACTAATAGCAGCAATTCGTCTTGGTTGAGTAACAACAATATTACAATGCTTATTTTTAGAAGTACAATAGTCTAAAATATACTGAGGAACTTGTGTGCTTTTACCACATCCAGTGGCACCTTGAATTACTATTACTTGATTAATTTCAATTAAGTGTATTATCTGAAAAATTGAAATGTTCATAATTGTATTAAAAGTTATTGTAATAGCTATATAGAAAATTATTTTTTAAGTGAAATAGTAATATTTATCATCAACTTATTATATGTCATACCACAATATATGAATATATTAATAATTAAACTAGAAATGCATTTTTATAAACTTATTAGTTTTCTTTCATCATCAAAATGAAATCAAAGCAATACAAAATTTGAAGTAAAATTTTCTATTTCTGTGACAACATCAAATTTCTAAACTAATCAAAAAAGTTTTTAAATTTTAATATTTTAATTTACTTCACTTCAAATGTCTTAAATTATACTAATTTCAACAATAACTAAATTGCAATGTTGAAGAAATAAATTTAATAAAAATAGGATACTTCTCTCTTATTGATAGTGTGATGAAAAAGATATGAACAAAATTTAGGATACTTTTCCATTATACTCCATGTTGCATCATATCACATTCCTATGGTGCACCAGGCTATATTGTGTTGCTTATGAAATGACAAAGCCAAATCAGATTATAATTTCAAATGAGAAATTGATAGTGTGCATATATTAAAAGCTAAATAAAAATTGCTTTTCAAAAAAATTTTTATGTATATTATTTTTTGTATTTTAGAAAAATATTTTTGTTAATTTTAAATTTTTATTTTGAATTGCATACATGAGATGCAAAATTGTTATCCAATGCAGCACAAAATAGGAACTTGACAAAACATGACACATGGGGCATAACAGAAAGTTCCAAATTTTGGAATAATAAAGTGCTTTCAAAAGTTACTGTCAAATTTAAAAGTCTTATGACTTATGAGTTACTTAAAATAGCTTCAGATTCCTCTTCAGATTAGCAATGAATAGCTTCTCATCTTTGCAAAGAATCATTCATAAGAGAACGACAGTAACTTTGGACTTGTTAAGAGTCTACAAAATTTCAATATAGAAAAATATTTTGTCGTCAGCTTGTATAAGTGTTACAATCTGTTCTTCAAAGCTAAATTGCTGGAATATAAAAATAATGTTAATAATAATAATAATAAAACCTTGAAAGCCAGCCTTTTCCCCATTTTTCCTCTGCCTTTTTTCTTCTATTTAATGAAAATTCAATGAAATTTGTAAGAAAGTGAAGAATCCCATAAAACAGTTTCCCCACAAGACTCAACTCAATGCCAATCAACTATCCAGCTTTTACCCTTAACAGAACTTAATCATTTTCAAAAGGAGAATTCATTTAGTTCACTGTCATAGTTAAACTTAATTATATGTATGTTATTTATTTTCTATGTATCAGAAATTATATTATCCTTAGAATTCAATTCAAATTTTGTTTCTTTAGATCAGGGGTGATGTAATTTTATAATTGGAAGACCATATCTCATTTCAGAAGAATCTCAAAGTTGCATGTTATAAAACGATAGCATGCTGTTCATGGAAGCTGTGGAAATGCCACTTTCCTTGTATTTTCTAAAATATAAATATATATTGTGTAATTATTTTCATATTTTAACATACTTTGAATTAATTAAAATTAATAATATTTTATTATAACTCATTGTGTATCTTATTACAAATTTCTATACTGCATGTGAAAAACAATGATAAAATTGCCATTGCATATTTGAATATAAATTCATATATTCATATTCCCAATGGAAATGCTGTATTGTCAAACATGGGATAGCTTCCATGGCAAAAATATTTGAATCATGTAAAGCAGCCAGATTACAGGCATTTGCGCATGCACTTTACAGAGCACCAACCTCTCATGGTTTAGCTTGTGGATGCTACACACCAAAATATCATATAATGCTTCCAATGACTCTATCCAGGTTCCCTATCATCAAATGTCACCAAATGCCTCTGTTGTACAGCAGGTTGTGTAAGTATATCCTAAAATGGTATAAATCAGTGGTGCCCAAAGGGTCCCAGGCCAAATCTAGCCTACAAATATATTTGATATATCACTTATAAATTTAGAAATAGACCTACTTTATGTATGTGTTTCCAGTCTAACTACATTTTAAACAGGATAGGAATAAAATAATGATAGTATTAGAATTAGATAGCACCATTTGTATGTGGACTAATAAAACAGTTTTTCTTGCTAATTTTCATAAGTCACTTGGAAACATTCATTTCAGTTAGCCTTGTTGCATTAATTTTGCATCATGTTTGCCTCTTGCAAGACAATGCACCAGTGCATGATTGCCATTACCAAGGCTGCTGTGAAGGAGTATGGGTTCGAGGAGCATGACCATCCACCCTACAGTCTGGACCTGGCTCCTAGTGATTATTATCTATTTCTGAAACTCAAAAAAGACATTTGAAAAAGTACTGAAGAGTTGCAGGAGGCAATTTATGAGCATTTTGCAGATAAAATTGTAAACTATTTTTGAAGAGTATTGAAATGCTAATTCCAAGATGTAATTAAGTGTGTTGAACTCAAAGAAACTATATTAAAAAATGACATTATTTTATACCTATAACATCTAAAACATAGTTAGGCCAGAAACTTTTGGCCTAACTTGTATATATGTAATATGCAAAATATTTGTAGTCTGTCCCCCTACAACTTGTGCACAATTTGGACTACCAATTGAAAAGTTTGGGCATCAACTGTTTAGATTATCTGTTTTTCATTTTATTTGAATGAAGAAGCTCATCTATAATTTATTCTTCTTTATTATTATTTATTATTAATTCTTTCTCAAACAAAACAAAACTGCAAAATATTTTCAGAAACAAAACTTTTCCTGAAAATTATTGCCCACTAGCACTCAAAATAAAACAACAATTTAAGAATGAATTAATTACTACTACTATGTAGTTTATTTGTAATATAAATATACAAACTTCCATAGGCTGAACCAATGTTTAACACTTTTAAATTGTTTGCACATTGTACTCAATTTGTATGTTTGTAAATATTTTTATAGTAAATAAAAATGTTTTTATTTAAATAAAATATATGTAAATAAAAATGTTTTTATTTATTATAAAAATATTCACAAATTAGAAAAAACAATAAATGTTTTCATATCACAACAGTCTTTACAGCAGAGTTGACCTTTTATTTGAAACTACTCATCCACCTTAATATGCAAAAACATTAAAAATTATAGGGTGAAGGTTTGTTCCTGAGGTGTTGAAAAAGATATGATGTGAGAAAACATTTATTGTTTCTTCTAATTTGTGAATACTTTTTATATTTTATTATTGTCTTGGCTATTTTATTTATTAATTTTTATTTACTGTTATTTTATTCTTATTTTTATCATTTATATTCCCAAGTGTATTGTGGAATATACAAAATAAAGCATGACTTTTTAGTAATCCTGTGAGGTCCCAGACAGAGTCTAAATCTTTCATCAAATGTGTGAAAAATTTGATTCATTTAAGAAAATACAGTGGAACCTCGGTATACGACCTTAATCCATTCCTGGTGTTTGGTCTTATACTGAATAGGACGTATACCAAACCAACCTTTTCCATAAGAAGTAATGTAAAAATGATTAATCCGTTCTCATGTAAAAAAAATGGCTGGCTTTAAACACCTCGCTTTCCTGGCTAGTTTCTGCTTGATTTTTCATGAGAGCAGCATGTATCCTTTTAACTTTCTCGCAAATAATTTCTTCCGATACGCTGTCGCCGGCACACAGTTTTTCAGTTATCCAAAGCAAAAGCAATTTCTCGACACGATCTAATGTCTTCGATCTCTGTTTAGAAATTTATTTAACCCCTTTCGCAACGTTAGCAAATTTAATAATGTCTTTATTTTTCACGATTGTCGATATCGTCGTTCTCGGAATACGGAATGCAACAGTTAAATCTCGTTAAATCTCGAACACGCATGCCACCTTCATATTTCTCAACAATCTCTTTTTTCAGTTCTGTTGTGATTCTAGTCATTTTTTTATTTTTCTGTTGCCCTTTGGCAATTCATGATTAATCAAAATAATAAAATGTTACTTACAAATTAAAATCAGAAGAAATTTAACAAAGTTATAAACTATGGCACCGCGAACGTCTAGTCTAGTGTAGTACACCGATAATGCTAATTGTTCATAGATGGCAAGTATAATTGAATTAAGTCGTATACCGAATAAAAGTCGTATACCGAGCAAAATTTGTTTCGTCCAAACAGGACGTATTCCGAATTGGACGTATTCTAAAGCAGACGTATACCGAGGTTCCACTGT